AAAAAAAAAAAAAAAAAGAAAAAAAAGAAAACAAGGGAGAGACAGGGGTGCAGGCTGGAGTGATAGTGGTTGGGTTTCAGCGATGAAGGTCAAAATGGGAGTGTGTAGTGTTCATGATACCTAGATTCCAGGTTCCATAGTATTAGTGGCTCACTGGTGGACCCAAAGGACTGAAGATCTATGGACTTTAGTGTCTCAGAGTCCAATTTTAGAGCATTGCCTTTTCAGATCTTTTCTATTTTCTGTTCTGTGTCACCTGAATTGGTCCTCAAATATAAGAATAAAAATAACATAGAGTCCTGTCTATCAAAGGAATTGTTATTTAAAGGGTTTAGTTCTAAGCTGGCCACATTGCATGGTGTTAAGGAGAATAAGTTTAAAATATAACCAATTTAGGGCTGGTGATGTTGCTTGGTAACAAAGCACTTGGCTTTGTCCATGCTAAGCAAGTGCTCTACCTTTGATCATCAGTGCTAAAAAAAAAAAAGGAAGGAAGGAAGGAAGGAAGGAAGGAAGGAAGGAAGGAAAACACAATGAATCCAGAGATACTGTTTTAGTATATTGGATAAGAATGATGAGATCTGTAGTCTAACTAGCATGCTAGGCCATTCTGCTCAGGACCAATCTGGTTGTAACTAGAAAAGGCCACCTTATCTTGGATGATCAAATTAAAAAGCTTTCTTTCCTTAGCTCCATATGTTTCTGCTAGTGACCATTTCCTAGCCATTGGGGCTGATAGAATTTCAGCCCACTCTAATCACTCCACTGGCAGAGCCTAATCTATGCTGACACTTGGAGTGGTCTTGTTCCTTTAGAGGTGGTTCTTGAACACCGATGTGTGAAAACCTACCTTAATATTTCTGAAACCACTCTGATGATAATAATGTCTTGGTAGCTTAATAAATGAGAGATAACTGCATCTACCTTGAGTTTGTTCAGACTCTTACCCTTAGAAAAGATTGGGAAACACTGACTTGAGGGATGACAATAGTAGAGTAACCTTTCTCTTTGCAGTGTTTTCTCTTCCTGGAGAGATCAAAAGCATCTGTTTTCTCCAGACCTCATTGTTTCCTAAAGTGAAATTGAAAAGCATAATATTATGTACAAAGAGAGCTGACTTTGTTTTGGTTTTTGGTTGTTTTTTGTTTTTTTTTTTTGTTTGTTTGTTTGTTTGTTTTTTTTTTGCCTCAAGGAACCAGGGATTGCACTTGCCAGGGAAGTGCTTATTCCACTGAGCCATCTCCCCAGCCCTGAGAGAGAGCTGACTTTGGAAACATTTATGAAGCTCAAAGTGCAGAGAAGAATGACAAACTATATGTTTCCACAGGAAAAACCTTGGGAATATTTTCTTGTAGTTTTAGGCTTATGTGACAATGGGGCATTTTTTTCCTCTTTATCTGTGGGAACAGGTCCCAAGATGCACCTTAGATGCCTGGAACTACATATGTCATTGAACCCTATATAATGAATTTTCTTCTACATGTACATTTATGATAAAGTTTAATTGCAGACTAAGAAATTAACGGCACTATTAATAAAATGGAATAATTATAACATGTTGTAATGAATGTTATTAAAAGCTTATGAATTGTTTATTTCAATATTTTCAGACTGTTTTTGACTTGGTAACCGAGACCACATAACAGCAAAGCATAGATAAGTATGGCAAAGCTAGTACTCTGGGTCTTCACTGGCAATACTTCCTTCCACTTGCCGTAGTATGCAAGATGGTAGACAAAGTGATTTCAGCTTTCTCATGTTATCATCACTAATATGTTTGTTTGTTTTGTTGGTTGGTTGGCTGGTTGTTGAAAGTCAAATCCAGGACCTTATATATGCTAGGCAAATGCTCTGGCACTGAGCTACACTTCCAACTCTTTTCATTTTATTTTGAGACAGGGTCTCACTAACTTTCTGGCCTTAAATTTGTGATCCTCCTGCCTCAGTTTCCCCAGTAGATTCCCCAGTAGAAATTGAAGGCATGTGACACGACACCCATATGCCCTTACATATTTTGAACACTTTATATTGCTTATCAGATGATAAATTCATAAAAATCAAGATGTAGGGGCTGGGGAGATGGCTCAGTGGAATAAGCGCTTCTCTGGCAAGCGCAAGGGCCTGAGTTCAATCCTCGGTTCTGCCAAAAAAAAAAAAAAAAAAAAAAAAAAAATCAAGATGTGAATTTCACTGTTTATAAAATAGTACTCATAAAAACTTATCCAGAAGAGCAAAAGTGAGTCAGAATTTAAAAAAAGATAGAAGTAAATACCTGATTTAAGTATTTATTTATTCCTTAAATGCTTAAGTATTTATTTATTTATTCCTTAAATGCTTTAAATACTTCACTAGAAATGTAAATAAAATATAAACATTAGAGTCCAGTAATCATCTGCCATTATAATAACCAAAATCTTATAGTGTAAAACATTAGAGGATCAGAGCCTGTAATATGTTTTGTTTAAAATTACAGTAAAAGGGACAGGGAGATATCTCAGTAGAATAAGTGCTTGCCTGGCAAGCACAAGGTCTTGAGTTCAATCCCTGGTACTGCAAAATAAATAAATAAATAAATAAATAAAATTACAATAATAATGTCTTATTCTAAGATTTTTTAAAAATCTTATTACAGTGATATATGAAAGCTAGATTTTATTCATAAAGGTATTCTGGTTAAGATCTAGGTTAAATGGCTATAATATAAGTCAGGATAGCTTTTGTACATCTGTGGCTGTTTTTGTGACCAGCTACGATCCCTTGATTACTTGATGGTCTAATAATCACTAAGGCCTGAAGATCTGGTTGACATCCTCAATCGTTGTGTTTCTCCAAGAATCTTAGACAAAATTGATTCCTCATGAACATACATGATCTACTTTGAAGGATAATACACCGTGGATATTTGCTTAAAAGTGTTAAATGTGAAAACCCCATGTGAAAAGACCCTTCTAAGTAAACAAATATTCACCACGACTGAATTCTTCCAAACAAATATCAACTTTACTAACTAATTAAAAGTCAAACATTTAAGTGACTAAACTCTGGTTCTGGAACATGGGTGCCACAGAGGCTGGACACACTGAAAAAGCCATCAGCCATGGTTCCAAGGTGTGGTACTGAGTATCTTTTGGCCACAACACACCCACATTGCTGAAAAGAGGGAAGAGCATGGAGACTCACTCTTCTTGACAACCAGCCGCAATTTTGATTTGATTTAGATCTTTTTCTCTGAGAAATTAATGTCAGCATTTTTTCCTTTTATAATCAATACTCTCAAAGTACAATGAAGAGCAGATTTATTAAAATTGGCTTTTAAAGCCCTTTGATTGTCTTTAATGCATTTTGAGTTCCTCTATATCAGTCCATTATGTTAATCAGCTTTGCAGTACAAAATGCAGAGGCCACTAACTTTATAAAAATTCTCTATAACTTTATGAAAAATTTATTTGGTTCACAGACTTGGAGGTTGAAGGGCATGATGCCTGCTGGCTGCTGTTGCAGAGTGTGCATGAGGGAGCAAACTCACGTCATCAGGCAGGAAACAGAGAGGACAGGCCAAAGTCCCACAATCCCCTGACAGCACACCCCAGTGCCCTAGCACCTCCTATTAAGGCTCTACCTCCCAAAGTCCTTCTGTGTCCCACACCACCACTCTGGGGTCAGCCTCTGACCACAATGAACACTTGGATGACACAAACTGCCACACTCATTGTCTGGCAGATGCTTGAGCATTCATTCTATCCCTATCCAGCATGAATTTATTTGTGCCTTCCAGCAGATATTAGGAAAAAAAAAAAAAAAAAAACACCTGGGAATTAGGCAGTGTTCCAGACTTGGTGGAGACCCTTTATCATCACACACTGCAATCACAAAAGCACATAATCATGACATGTGGAAGAGCTACTGCCACAGCTACCAGTCTCTACTGAGTCTGCAGTCATGTATGCACTCTAAAAAAGACAAACAAAAGATGAGAACCAAAATAGATCTTTCAGATAAATTTGGAAATCCTTTGAGAAAAGTAACACATGAGTGATGGTCTTGAGGCTTCTAGGTACAGTTTGTCTACCATGGAAGTAATATTGTAGGCAGCTGAATTAGAAATATTATAGGCATTCAGACAGGGCCAGGCCCTCAAGGAGACAAGGTGACTTTGCAACATGGAAGAGATAGACACTCCCATATGGGCCACACCTCAAGACCAAGACAAAAGAAGAAACACAGCTACATACCTCCTTAGGGATGGGCCTCAGGGATTGATACTCTAGGTATCAATCACCTTGAAAAAGCACAAATAAATCACCATCTCAAAACCCCAACAGGAAGAGATCCTGTCCTGCATTGATGCCCACTTGCTACATGACTCACTTCCCCATTTGGTACTGGATTAAATCAATTTTATCTGAGCAATGGTGCTTGTGATCTCATTGGTTGACTATAGCTTTCTACCACCTCATGCCCACCTAAGCAAGTTCCCATGTCTTCTCCACTGCCTTAGATCCACCTCACCACATGGTTTTCCTCTATAAAAGCCCCAGGAAGATGGGGTGTCAGTGTGGTGGAGACTGAGTATTCTACCTTGTAAATACTATTATTTGTATATACTGTAAATGATGACATCAGTGGGCACTAACTGAGCCCGGGGAAACTGGGAACAACCTCAAAACCAAAAGCAGACACAGCATAAGCAGCGACCACAGGCCACTGTAGAACAGATTCAACTTGCGCAGATGATTTTGGACCACAGTGATGCTGACTTTGAGGAGAAAGTGAAACAATTGATTGATATCACAGGCAAGAACCAGGATGAGTGTGTGATTGCTTTGCATGACTGCAATAGAGAGGTCAACAGAGCAATCAATTGTTCTTCTGGAAGGAAACCCAGACACACATTCTTGGGAGATGGTCAGGAAGAAGAAAGGTGTCTCAGGACAGAAGGATGGTGGTCAGGCAAAATCCAGTGAGGAAGGCAAAGAAAATCGAGACCAGGACAGAGACTATAGTTGATGATGTGGTGGGCCACCAAGACAGGGGAGAGGTACCAGCCAAAAATGAGAGTGTGTCCTTGGGGCTTTGTCAAAACCAACCATGGTTCAGGGTCAGGAAAATGGATTGGATGGCACCAAGAGTGGAGGACCTCCTGGAAGAGGCACAGAAAGAGGCTGAAGAGGCTGAAGAGGCTGTGGCTGAGGCAGAGGAGGCTCTGGTAGGCACGAAGGAAGGTTTTCTGCTCAAGGGATGGAAAATTTTAACCCAGCTGATTATGCAGAGCCAGCCAATACTGATGATAACTATGGCAATAGTGGCAGCAATACATGGGACAATACTGACCACTTTGAAACAGATGATGGGACAAGCCTTGATTTCATTGGGGTTGAGGGATCAAATTATCCCCGAAAATTTGAGACTGCTCCTGGTCTGATACATCCAGGTGCATGGAGGGCTGTAACAGAGGAGTGGGGAGCTGAAGATTGGAATGAAGATCTTTCTGAGACCAAGATCTTCACTGCATTTAATGTGTCTTCAGTGCCTCTGCCTGCAGAGAATGGGACAATCACTGCTGGTCAGAGAACTGACCTTGCTGTTCTGCTGGGGAAGACACCATCTTCAATAGAGAATGATTCATCTAATCTGGATCCATCTCAGGCTCCTTCACTGGCTTAGCCTCTGGTATTCAGTAACTTGAAGCAGAGTGCCATATCACAGCCTGCTTTGGGGAGCACGTTTTCCCATCATGGTATGGTGAGCATGTTGGGGAAGGGATTTGGTGATTTCGGTGAGGCTGAAGGTGGCAGTACCACAGGCTCCCAGTTCTTAGAGCAATTCAAGACTGCGTAGGCCCTGGCTCAGTTGGCAGCTCAGCATTTCAGTCTGTAAGCACCACTACCTCCTCTTGGGACATGGCCTCAATGACATAGTCCCCATCACTGGAGCAGTATGCTTTGAAGAACCCAGATGATTCAGCGGTGCACAGCCCCTTTACAAAATGCCAACCTTTCACTCCATCTTCAACCATGATGGAGGTGTTCCTTCTGGAGAAGCCTCCTGCAGTGGCAACCTCCACAGCTGCACCTCCACCCCCCTCTTCACCTCTGCCAAGCAAATCCACCTCACCTCCAGAGATGTCTCCTGGGGCTTCAGACAACCAGTCCTCCAACCCTCAGCCTGCTGAGCAGAAACTGAAATAGCAGAAGCAAAAAGCCTCTTTGACTTCTAAGACTCCTGCTTTGGCTGTGGATATGCCTGGCTTAGCAGGTATCTCAGGACTAAATCTGCAGTTTGGGGAACTGCAGTTTGAGTCAGAGCCTATCCTTTCTGATTATGAGTCCACCCCCACCACGAGCGCCTCTTCAAGCCAGGCTCCAAGCAGCCTGTATACCAGCACGGCCAGTGAATCTTCATCTACAATTTCATCTAACCAGAGTCAGGATTCTGGTTATCAGAGTGGCCCAATTCACTCAACAACCTATACCTCCTAAAACAATGCTCAGGGCCCTCTATAAGAACAGAGATCCACACAGACTCGGCGGTACCCCAGCTCCATCACCCTAAAAGGACCTGACTCAGGCAAAGAATGGCTTCCGTTCTGTGCAGGCCACACAGTTACAGACCACACAATCGGTTGAAGGTGCTACAGGCTCTTCGGTGAAATCTGACTCACCTTCCACTTCTAGTGTCTCCACACTCAATGAAACAGTATCTGTAGTTTCCCTACTGACAACCACCAATCAACACTCTTTCTCCTTGGGTGGCTTGAGCCATGGAGAGGAGATTCCAAGTACCACCACCACACAACACAGCAGCATGTTATCTACACATCAGAATACGCTTTTGTCATCAACATCTTCTGGGCACACATCAATATCCACTCTCCTGCCTACAAGTGTGGAGAGTGAAGTGAATCTCCATTCTTCCTCTAGCACTTTCTCTACCATGTCCAGCACAGTCTCTGCACCTCCCCTAGTAGTCAGCATCTCTTCCAGTCTCAATAGTGGCAGTAGTTGGTCTCAGCCTAAGCAGCAACTCTACCATCATGGCCTCAACTTGAAGCTCAGTTGCTACAACTTCAGGAAAAGCTCCTCCCAACCTCCCTCCTGGGGTCCTGCCATTGTTACCTAATCCATATATTATGGCTCCAGGGCAGCTACACGCCTGTTGCCTATGAGTCACAAGTGTATGGTTATGATGACTTGCAGATGCTTCAGACAAGGTTTCTATTGGATTACTACAGCATCCCATTTCCCACACCCACCACTCCACTGACTGGGAGGGATGGTAGCCTGGCCAGCAACCCTTATTCTGGTGACCTCACAAAGTTTGACCATGGGGATGCCTCCTCCCCAGCTCCAGCCACAACCTTGGCCTAGCCCCAACAGAACCAGACTCAGGCACACTACACCACACAGCAGAAGTTCCTGAATATGGTGCTGCCTCCTGGCTACAGTTATACCAGCCTGCCATACTACACAGGGGTTCTTGGGCTCCCCAGAATCTTTCAGTATGAGCCTGCTATGTTCCCTTGGCTCCTACCTCTTCCAAGCAGCATAGTGTGAATGTCAGTATGAATGCATCAGCCACCACTTTCCAACATATGGGTCTCATCGATACAACACTGGTGTATCAGTTACCTCCAGTAACACAAGCATGCCAGATATCTCGGGTTCTGTGTACTCCAAAACCCAGCAGTCCTTTGAGAAACAAACTTTTCATTCTGGTACTCCTGCTGCCTCCTTCAACTTGCCCTCAGCCCTTGGAAGTGGAGAGCTCATCAATCCGGCCACAGCTGCTGCCTATCCAGCTGCCCCCTTTATGCATATTCTGACACCCCATCAGCAGCCCACTCCCAGATCCTTCACCATCATCTGCAGCAGGTTCACCAGATGGGCAGCAGGCAACGTAGCCAGACCAGCTCCATCCTACAGAAGCCCCAGACCAAGAGGTCTGCCTACAACATCTACAGCGGGGGGGGGGGGGGTCAATTGAAGCCCTGACCCTCTTCTCCTGGTCCCATCTTCTGAGAGGGATTCTCAGCCTGGAAAATGTAGAAACATCAAAGAGAGAAAGGAATGTTGGGGGATTGTGCAGCCCCCACCCCAGCGGCCCACTCCATGCCTCAGCTTCACATCTCCCATTCCCATACCATCCCCACCTTGTTGTATGTATTATACGATTTGTATTTTCTCCCCTCCTCCCTCCTTCCCCTTGCATTCAAGATTATGAAACTTTGCTGTGGGTCCTGTCCTTCCTTCACTTCTTCCTATTCACCCTGGTGGTATATGGGTAAGGTGGGAGGGGTAGCCCCCAAATATGTATCAGCCCAACAGCCCTAAGTCTCCTCCTTTATTATTAGGAAAACAAAGCGACAACAACAACAAAAAAAAAAAGCTTCATGAATATGAAAAACATTGTCAGTGAATTAGTTGAAGTTTTTTTTTTCTTTTTGTACTGTGTCCTCAAACTTAATAGATTAATGTGTCTTGTATATATAAAAAGCAAACTACCGTCCAAAAAAAAAGTCCCTGGAAGAGACAGCTTCCTGGGGACAACCCGCTCAGGACCACCCTCTTGTCCCTCTCTTGGACAGGAGCTTTCTTTCCCTCAATAAAGATATTCTGCTCATAACTTCTATTTGTTCCTAAAGTTCATTGTTCGGTTTTAGAGAAGACAAACTTGTTCCAGGTACCTTTTAGGTTGTGAGATCAGTTTTTTCCTTGTGTCATTTGAAGGTTTCCCTGTATCAGTAATACTGATTTCATCTGAATATGCTGTCCTCTATGTTTCTGCAATCCAAAAACTGTCATTCTTCAGACAAGACATGTTAGTCAATTTTCTCTTATTGCTGAGACAAAGTACCTAACATACAAAGTAAAAAGGAGAAAGGCTTATTTAACTCACAGTTTGTAGAGGTTTTTGCCCATAATAGGTTAGCTCAAAGGCAGGGTCACAGGGAGGTGTAGCCTCGCAGATAGGCCTCACAGAGGAGAAACAGTTGATGGTTGAAAGAACATAAAAAAATCAAGAGAGGACCACAACACTTTCTATCTGTTATATCTAATCCACAATACTTAGGGAGGGCAAACTCACACCCTTAATCCTAGTGGCCTTGAGCCTAGAATGCACCATGAATCAATCCCAGTCAAACACTCTATGATCCAACCACCGATGAAAAGTTTGTGACTGCTTGAGCCTTTAGGGGGAAATCTAGACACAAGCCATAACACAAGATGAAGTAGATGAACCAAAGAGTCCTGTAACTATTAAAGAAATTGAATCTGTATTTTGAAATTTCCTGATGAAGAATCCTCTGGGCCAGGTAATTTCATTGGATAATTTTAGCAATTGGATGCTCAATGGCAATTTTTTTAAAGCACAGAATGTATTTATGTAATTATTGGGGGAAAAGAAAGCTTTTATCCAGGAGAGAGAAGAGAAACAGAGAGAGAGAGAGAGAGAGAGAGAGAGAGAGAGAGAGAGAGAGAGAA